CCCCCCCCCCCCCAGATACAGTATATAGTTAAAAAAGGCACTGCACTGAAATGAAACGGGCAACGATGTCAAGCAGCTTTTTAAATCAATAAATGCATTTCAAACAAATGAAACCTCCTTATAGAATCGAACTCTATATAGACATTTAAGAAACTCCGAAAAGGTAAATCCTTACCAAGACACGAATTCATTGTGGAAATCCAAGCATCGTAACTATATGCAGTGGAATTATTTCATTTAAATACTTCTTGCGAAGTATAAATATCCTGGAAACATCAGGAAATGTGCAATTGCCTCTTGATAAATAAAGCGTTTCTGTGAATGACTATTTGATTATTGACAATGCTATTTAAATTTACGAAAATAGGGATCACTCAACGCATCAGCCTCAATAGATCCAGATTTCAACAATACAGATGGGATGAGCTTTGCTTGGTACTGCAGGGATGTTGAAGACAGCGAATTTCAATTATCTGACCTAGCTAAGGAACCTCTTGTTACCGCGCCTGGCTTTTTCCCAGATCCTGACGTAAGTGATTAGAATTTCTTTATACCGTGTAGTTACCAAATTAATGTTAGCGAGAGCAAATTATGTCATTAAAAATACAATATTTATCAATTTCAGCAGTTTCATATTTCTCACACATTCGTACTTTTCAGCTTGGTGGATGTTTTGGAACAGGGCGTGGTCGATTGAATGTGACTGATCCGATACTTGAATTTGATACTGGTGTGATGGTTGAAGATAAAGCGTGAGTAAAGATGTAAATGTTTTCTTGAGAAGTTAAATTTTGCAAGAGCAAATTTTATTGATAAAAGGAGTGAAAAGGCCTTTCTATAAGTGAATGTTATTGGTTAATTCTTAAGAATGCATATCGCTTTCTCTGTCCGAAATGTATACGTGACCATAACAATGGCGATGACCGTGACCATAACAATGGCGATGACCGTGACCATAACAATGGCGATGACCGTGACCATAACCATGACGATGACCGTGACCGTAACCATGACGATGACCGTGACCATAACCATAACCATGACGATGACCGTAACAATGGCAATGACCGTGACCATAACCATGACGATGACCGTGACCATAACAATGGCGATGACCGTGACCATAACCATGACGATGACCGTGACCATAACCATGACGATGACCGTGACCATAACCATAACCATGACGATGACCGTGACCATAACAATGGCGATGACCGTGACCATAACAATGGCGATGACCGTGACCATAACAATGGCGATGACCGTGACCATAACCATGACGATGACCGTGACCGTAACCATGACGATGACCGTGACCATAACCATAACCATGACGATGACCGTGACCATAACAATGGCGATGACCGTGACCATAACAATGGCGATGACCGTGACCATAACAATGGCGATGACCGTGACCATAACCATGACGATGACCGTGACCGTAACCATGACGATGACCGTGACCATAACCATAACCATGACGATGACCGTGACCATAACAATGGCGATGACCGTGACCATAACAATGGCGATGACCGTGACCATAACAATGGCGATGACCGAAATGAAACAATGTATTTTCAAACAAAACAGCACTATATGTGCATCAAATTAGGATTTACATCAACATTGGAATCGATTATATTATATTACCCAAGTGATCATTATTTTAATATTTTGTATGACCTCCTTTTGATTGTAGAACGGCTTTAACTCTTCCTGGCATAGATTCAACAAGTTTTCTAAGTACTGCTAGTTTAAGGTTATTCCAGCATTGATAAAAGACATTCCATAAGTTGTCTTCACATGTGGGATTATGTTTCACTTTCTCTAGTTTCAAATGATCCCATAAATTCTGCCAATTGAAATCATGTGATTGCAATCCTAGGGTATCTCTACAATTAAAAATATTTTATTTTTAACGTTTTTGTTTCTTTTTAGTTATGCAATTTCACTATTCGTGTCTACAAGCTATCAAGGTTTTGCCGTCCGACAACATTTAAGCAACATCTTTTTTCATGTGGCAAAAGGTCTACCTCCAGGACTTTTTGTAAGGTAAACAAAAATATAGTTTATTGTAAAATAATCACGACTGCAGAACTTACAGGTCTAACTCCAAATTCAAAATGTGTGCTTCAAAACTTAGTTGAATTAAGAATTGTGCAGTTACAGGTTCAATAGCAAAAATTATGTGGAGGCAGTGGATCTAAATTTCTAAAACCTGGAGTTACGGCCTGACATCTCTTATCATAGCCTGTAAAGATATGATGGTCTGAAAGCCCAGCAAACTTCAAAGGTACAAAATAGAAGACTTTTGTTTGATGTTGAACTGTACTTCACCGTGCACATATCCTTTGTCTCAACTTCATTAAATATTATTCATCGTGGTTGCACGCTTCATCTCAGCTATCCCTATTGGATGGTTACTTCATTATACGAAAATACAATGCGCTCAATCACCGTGACCGTGCATTAACATAAACTCAGACAAAAACATATAGAACAAACACTTCCGTTTAGTTTCCAGACCATCATATATTGGTAGACTATATGCTCTTATTGGCTACTTCAACATAGATGTAATCTACAGGCTTGGTAAAAGTATGTTGGAATCTTGGAGAGAGCAGTCTCCACAATATGCAGTAGATATTTATGTTGACATATTTAGGGTAGTGGGACTGTACACAAACAGGCACGATATTTTATGCGATTCTATGCCACGCCCTTCGCTTGTAGGTTTGGCCATGTGAAATTCGTCATTACAGCTTTCGATAATTCTGATACTGTGTAATTTTGGTTGTTGCTACGTCCCACAAGCCGTTTTGTTCTTTCTTCGTTAAAACGTACCTATATCGGATGTTTAAACTTTCTAACGTTAAAAAAACGTTGTTTGTGGCTCCTGATTTGCTGTGTTGATGTTGTGTACTCAGGTGATTATGATGTTTGTGATGTTACTTTGAGTGTGTATCCACACCGGGTAGGCTTGAAAAATATGCCCGGCCACGGTGGGAATCGAACCTACGACCTTTGGAATACTAGCCCAATGCTCTGCCAACTGAGCTATACGCGGTCAGGTTGGTTCGAGTATGTGATATTTCAGAACTGAGTCTAGTTCTATCGACATCAATGTAATGTAATAATCATGATTTGCTGTGTTGATGTTGTGTACTCAGGTACTCAACCCCGTTGTGAAATACCTCTTTTGTCTATATGGAATCTACACTATTTTAGCGGAACTATATCAATTGTCGATAATTACATGAGTTTAAACCGCACTTACTAATATATCATAAAATCAATCATCCGAAAGCCTGTGTGGTAATATCTTTTTTATGTTTTCAAATGATATTGACATTTCAAATTTCAGCTGTTTCCCAGTTAGCTTTTCATCCTTTGGAAGTATAGAAAACTGAGCCCTTAACATCTCGTTTCAAATATCAGTCTTTATATGGTATATTTTGCTAACTTCACAGCTGTGCCAAGAACTGTCAAGCAAAAGTTGCCCGTGACGAAAAACTAATCCTAAAATCTAAGTGTAACATTCGTTGCTATGGTGAACTGGCGTTTACTTGGACATTGTACCGCTATGATAACTTAAACACCCCGGAACCCTACAACCTTTCTGCGTTACATGAGTTTACTTCAAATGAGCTAAAGGAGATGACGACAAGCCCAATCGACGCATTGGAAATTGCTCTCAAACCGAAATCACTGGAACCTGTAAAGAAGTATATATTGGCTTTCCGAGCATTTCGACCTAATGGAGTTTTTGGCGAACTGCGATATACTTTACTGACCAATGATGCGCCAGTTGACGGTATGAAATAAACTTTTATCGTTGATATTATAACCCACTGAGTTGCAGTGCGCCCTATTTCATTAATTTACTCTATCTAACGCGAAATTATTTTACTGCCTATGTAACCTCTCGGCGGCCCTGCATGCAAGAGTGAGTTTTTCAAAGATTGTAATCAAAATAGCTCGGGTCCTAAGAATAAAACTCAGGAATGCATGTTTTATCCAAATTTCACCGAAAACGTGCAAGAACGAGAAACCGCAATTTTTCGCGCTGACACATGCATTCAACGATACTGATAACTGATTGCCTACCGTAATTTTCTTTGTGAATTCCTAGGTACCTGTTCCATCTTTCCTTTATCTGGTGTTGCCATGGAAACGAACTTCACTGTCTCGTGTGCAAATTGGGTTGATAATGAGGCACCTCTCACCGTTGAATTTTCCCACCAAATCAAAGGTGTAAAAACTGTATTCTTCTTTCGCGAAATTCCAATAAGAGCAAGAGTTAGTGCAACACTCTGGTTACAAGCTGGAGATGAAAACAGTGATTATCGCCTGAATGTCAGTGCCGTTGTAAAAGACAGATTTGGTGCCAAAGCTGGCGAGGACTTCACGGTTGAGGTATACTTTCTTTCCAACCTTATTATATTTCGCAAGCTTTGTAACCCAGAGAAGTAAAGCTGGTTTCAACCACACCCCCTCGGGATGGCTAACGAATAGTCTAATTCATAGCCGGAACGGGGGGTCTAGAGGGGCTGAAGCCGCCCCACTCCACCCCTCCCCCCGCACCTTTTCAAAAGTAGGGAAAAGGGGCCCGGAATAAACATTTTGAAAATTCTAGTTAAAAATTGGGCTAATTTAGTGAAAGCGGTAGGTGTAATAATTATATTGCAAAATTTAACACCTCCCCCATCTCTAACATTCAGACACAATATTATGGAAATTTTATGGAAATTAACTAAGCTGAGTATGAACGCCTTGTATGTTGTACATATGATATTCGAACTGATTTCGATACTAAAAGATCTCTGTCATCGTTTCAGTGAGTTATAAATGTGAAATTTTTCGGCGATGGAATGATTTTCGGTTCGCTGGAAAATATGCTTATTTCAACCTGAGTGCATTGTTTTGGCAAACCAGCCTGTCGAAAGAGTTCCGTGTGCAAGAACGGGTGAAATTCGCCTTGGGAAAGGGAGCTACCTGCAGCCTGTATTCACACGCTGGTTCTGCTTAATATAACTGAATTGGAGAATTGGTCCAGTTGTGAGAAGCAGTGAGCAGTAATGTTTTTCCACACAAAAATTTCCTTGTTAACGTATAGAAGTAACACTATTTGGGTTAAATTATTCCTGGTTAAATTTCCTGGTTATTTTATCTCGCTTCTTACCATAGTCTGGTTTGTAACCAGGAATCTGGTTATATTTCGCCAGCACGTTCTTGTTAAAATAACCAGACTATGTTAGGTGGATAAATAACCAGGACCCCCTGGTTATTTATCAACCTAATTTAGTTTGGCAAACAGGGGTGTTTAGAAGGGGGGCACTGGGGGCACTTGCCCCCCCCCCCCAACTTTTCAAAAGTGCCCTTTTTCCGGGAGCAAAGTGCCCTTTACCTCCGTGAAAAATGTCGTTTAGATTGCATTTTTTCCCCAATGGCCTTTGATTTATGATTGGATTTGTTTTTGTATTTTGGTATTTCCTGAAAAATTCTGTTATTTTCGGGGAAAATTTTGAAATGTGCGCGAAAAATTTTCTGAATTTCTGGAAATTTTTTTAGTACGTCCGGAAATTTTTTGTAATTTTCTGGAAAAAATATGATATGTCCAGAAAAATTTTTGGTGTGTCCGGAAAATTTTTTTGAGATTTCTGAATTTCTGGAATAAACTATCTAAATAAAACTATAACTAATAACAGCACTTAAGAGGCTAAACCAGAGTTCTATCAAACTGGAAAAAATCTGGAAAAAAGATGATATGTCCGGAAAAAATTTTGGTATGTCTGGAAATTTTTTTTGAGATGACCTCTCCCCCCTCCCCCCCCCGTCGCCAACATTTCCGTGAAAAAAATTTTTAGGTGCCCTTTTCAATCGAAAAGTGACCCTCGAAGCCCCCCCCAACTTTTAGATGCTTCCTACGCCCCTGCACTTGGTACATATAATTATAGTTTTGAATGTTCTTGGATTTTCAGGATCGTAGGAAATTTCTAAATCACGGAAGTAATGGCAGTTTAAATAAAAGTATTTTGAAATAAATTACTCTTATATCATTTGGGTAAAACCATTTTTAAAAGTTCAAATATTTCTGAATATTTTAGGTTGTTCCACAGCCAGCAGAAAATATTGACTTGAACCAGTTGCAAAATTTAACATCAGAGGATGCTATGGGAGAACTATTTGAGACTGGTAATGGTGTTTTAGCCATAGGTCTGGCTTCAAATATTGCCTCTACACTCAATGGCTTGGGACAGAACACGACATCAAATGGCAGCAGTTTAACGCAACAGCAAAAAGATGCTTCAAAAAAGGTAAGAATGAGATGTGTAAAGGCCCGTCCAAACGGACCCAAACACTTTTTTAGGTCAAATTTTTGTCGACGTAGTTTCAGCAAACCCGAATGGGAACATGTGATAGAATGAAAAATTCCTTTCAACATTGATTCGGAGGAGCGGACGAAATATTTATTCAGAGAAACGCCATTCGAGGCCAATGTCTGTGGGTTGTCCACAACGTTTTGGCCAGGATTGTAGGCCAGGACACATGTATTCGCCACAATATTGCTTTGCAGTCGTTATTCAAAAACAGTGGATTGTTGATTGAATATTATCACAGTTTGTGATTATTCAGAGCAGTATTTCGACTGAAGAGGCAGCAAAAGTGCGTAGATATACGTAAAAAGCTGAGAATTGTGACTTTTGTGCGATTTACACTAAGTGCCAATTTGTACTGCTCTTGTTGCACAATCATGGTCTTCCGTCTTCATTTCGTTTCGCTTGTCTTACTGATCTGAAGTGTGATGTGTATTCTAGAATAATGAATTTGTTGCAATAAGTCATTTGCCTGGAACCAGACGGGATAATTCATTCCAACCGTTATCTAAAGCCCTCGTAGAAGGGATGTCCTGCTCAGTTCATCAGCCCCGCTCTTCCCCGCTGAATCCTTCCCAGTGCTTCAAGAAGGTTGGCCCTATAATAACTTGTATCTATGCTAAATATAGCTCTATGAACAACACAGTCGATCATGTATAATATAACAAGGGGATATAACATCTAATTTGATTAGCTAATAAGCGTGCGTTATAATGGCTGTTGCCTCGTGCTTTACAAGTTTGTCTTGTGTTCTCCAAACATTCTCTTCGTGCATTATCACACGATTAAAGCACACAACTTATCTTCAATTCCTTAACTAAAACCTGTTTTTGGCCACAGCCCAAAACCTCTAGATCTACTCTCCTTAACTCAAACGACTAAACATTTTCCGTTGACTCATTAAAATTTACTGACGACAAGTTGCTACTATGGGTTTGAGAAGGTTAGGGGTTATTCGACACCTGAGTGAGGAAACCTACCTGTACAGTTTGAATTAGGCAAATCTCGACAAAAATGAAGGTAGTAATGCTCGGCACTGCATTCTGTCGCATCTCTGCAATGTCTGTTTGCACTTTTATATTACGTTTATTGGTATAGAGCTTATTGATAACATAAAGCCCTACTATTTTTTTATTAGATTAGAAAACAGCTCTTCGCGTCCCTCGCCAGTGCCAATCTGTCAGCTAAAGATACATCTTCACTGGAACAAATGAGTGGGACAGTTTTAGCTCTGACCAAAAACTCTGATGAATTAGAACCTGAAAGTCAGGTAAGAGTTTAAAATGATTAACAGGAGAATCTTTTGTATGTGACGTAACACGCGCTCAAAACTAGTATACTTTCTCGCTTGGTATGACCATATTCAATTTTTATAATTTTTGATACGTTTTTCATGCGGCAAACAAACATAAAAAGTATGTTTTGTGCTTTATCTAAAATGAAGAGATTTTAGATGATACGCCAAAGAGTTTTAAAATTATGTCTGAATTTCAGTAAGTTTCGCTTATGTAGCTGTATACAGTAAATATATGGCGTCAGTTATAAAGCATCAATAAATAGTTTATTATTTTTTACTGTTTTGCACAAAAAATGAAATTAAAAACAATGATCGTGCGTTCGTGTTGCCATAAGTTCATAACACCACGGGGAAACGTCTGCGCATGTGCGTGTACTAGAAGAAATGACGAGGAATTTAAATGCTTAAATTGACAATATGTAACTATTATTTTGTGTTTTTCAACCGCCAGATACATTTAAAAAGGTAGCTAACTGTGTAAACTACAAAAGAGAGCTAAAACAAAGTGATTTTGAAAGGAACGCCAAAAAGATTTTAGGTTTTGAACATTTTTCATTACAAATACGCGACATTGACAAAAATCGCTTCTTAAAGGAAATGTATTATTTGAAATGACCTATGAGATATATTGGATATATTTAGACCCTTTACACTTTTTCCGAATCGTGTTTAGTTTTCGAAATATTTAAACCAATATTTTGTTTTTTTGTTCAAATATGCATGCTTGACGTCACAATACTTTCAGAATGCATGGCATCACAACGACGTCACATTCTGCCAACCATATTTCATTATGAGTATGCAACTCCGTTTTTCATTCTTTTTCCATTTCTAATGGGCTCACAACATACTAAAAACACTTCAACCCCGATGGTCAACTCCAATTTATTAGGTCAAACATGAACTTGAATATTAGCAAAATATTTGACAATAACAGACAGTTTGCATGCAAGAACGTCCTTGGACTACCTTCCTATATAAAAGCGAAAAATTTGACTTTATCCAATTTTATCAATCAGCATTTTCTTTCTTTCCGAGTTCAATAACTTTGTACCCTCTTCGTGGAAAACGTATCAAACTATTTATTATTTATTTATTTGATTTTGGCCAATAATATTTATTTACATGAAAATACTAATATTAAGGACGAACAGGGCTAGGAGTCTATTTGAAACAATTTGGCTTTTTTCCTTAGACCCCTAGAAAATATATTGGGACAGGTTGTATAAAACTCTTTTAGTTAATCACTGGTTTGTAGTTGAATGGTAGTTAAATCTACACTGTAAATTTTAAGGAGTTGAATCCAAAAATTTTATTTTGCCACAAAAAGCGGTGACAGAATAACACTTTGAAAGTTGATTAGGCTCATTGAAATTTACAGTGTAAAATACGCGATTTTGATTGGTTAAATTTCGCACATTGCATTTTTATACAATCGGCCCCTGGATATCAATTATATATCTTATGTTTGTCTTTTTAGGGTGCTGCACTTCAACTTACAGAAACGCTAACAAGCAATCTAAAAGGATTGTCTGATGGAGACAAAGGTTTCTCAAATGTATTGCAAGGAGCTTCAAACCTTGTGGGCGGTATTGGTCAAATGACAACTAGCATTGCGAAGGAAGCTAGCAATACTAGCAGCGAAAATGGTGCTTCGGTATGTCATGTGACTAGTTATAAAATATGCTATAATATATGTGCAATATACTGTATGAACGTTTTTGATTGGCTGACGTGCGTGCTCGATAACTCGTTTGAGCTCGACTACATGCACGGGAATTCTTTGCCTCGTTTTTGCAAACATTTCCCCAAACTTTTTTCAGTTGGTTATCAGCCTATAAATATAATTTGTCGAACAGACACACCCAACCACTTATTTTGACTGACAACTGAGATTATTTTATCTATAGGCGTAAAATGTCAAGTTCAAAGCTTGAAAAGACCACTCTAAAAACAATCTCAAAAACGTTTTCTGGTAAAGTTTGGAGGAAAAGTTTAACAGATAAACACGTGCACTTCTAAAATGCAGAAGTCGTCAAGGGAAACAAGGCTACAATGTATTTAAAATTGCAAACAATTTTTAAAAGCAGTGCAAAACTATTAATGAACAAATGATATAGACCGTGAAAGTGTGACAAGAAGTAATTCTCTGCTTCTACTTAGAATCAACAGTAATGTATTGTATTATTTTTCCGTCCTCTAGGATCAAGTGAAACGTTCTATTGGATTAGTTGACAACATTCAAGGCGTGTTGCTAGACAATTTAGTTAGCAACGAACCACCAGTTAATATCGAATCTGACGAGCTATCCATGCAAGTAGAAAAAGTGATGATAAAAGACGCTGCTCAAAAGAATAATGGCATAAAAGGAGCAAAATTTGGATCCCCTTCACCTGGTGCACTTGGCATAGGAAATGGTAAGTTATTGATGATTATCAGGAGCTGTTTATATGTTTTGTGGGCATCCGTTATGTTATCCGTTAGCATGTATGTAACCCCCACCAATTTAGAGGTAACTATAACGTTCAGGTCTTGGGCTAAAGGTGCTTGGATTAGGCGAATACGCTTCAATTCCATGTGCTTGAAACCTATATATAGTAAATGGAGTTGTGGTTGGTCTCTTTATCGAGTTTTCTGGGGGGTTTTCTTCACAAAAAGCTAAGCAATTAACCTATGCCCCACAAACAGACATGAACTTATCCGATTTTCATAAGTGGAGGAAGATTAGTTTGGTTGCGCGGGGAGGAGACTAACAAACCCTAGGGGCCCATCCTAAGTATCCTATGCCGGGAAATGTTAATCCTGGGTCTTCTGATATAGCATTTCTTGCGTTGTGGAGAAGATTAAACGTGCACAAAATATATTTATCACTTATTACTTATTACTGAGAGTGAGGGAAACAGTGTGTTTTGTGGCGAGGCGAAGCCGAGGGCAACAACGGCGGTATCGGGTCCACAAAACACACTGTTTTCCCGAAGTCTCAGTAAATAAGTGTTTTGTTATATAGTATATAAGTGTCAAAGTATGAATAATTCACCGGTTATTGGAGTGAACTTAATTTGAAACCGAAACTGGATAAATGCATCGCCGTAAATGTTTGATAAAAGGTTTAAAAAATGAACTTTGGAACTTCGCGGTTGACACGCATGCGCATTTGCACCATTTATTATTGACCGGTCAATAAATGTTTCACTGTGGACCGGTTGCCGAACATGACGTTTTGTGGACCGGCACGTGATACAGTTTTGACCAATCGGCAAACAGAAAAATTGAACTTTGACATCAACTATATAGCAAGTCATTTTGTTTAGTTGTGCATTTTAGGCACCAAAGATTAAAGAATATGATATCTTCACATTCCGTTCTCCCACTTTGAGGGTGCATAGCCCCATTCTGCTTTTGGAGGGGCTATAGCCCCCTACTTTCCCCCTATATAGCCTCATACTTCCACATATTCCGTCGCCTATGGTAGCCTTTATCTCAACCACGTATTTTATCTGCGTCCTGTGCAAATTTGTTTACAGTTGCAAATGTGAAAGAAAAGCACTTCCACCCTTCCCCTCCCCTTTCCTCCCCTCCCTTCCCCTCCTCTTCCTTCCCTTCCCCTCCCCTCCCTTGCTGTAGTCCAGCCTTTGAAATCAAATTGTAAATAGTGTAGTTTAGCTTAGCTTATACGTTGTTCATTTATTTTAGTTGTTGAGAATCGAAATAATACTATTCTTCAAATGCAGCCAGTGGACATCAAGGTATGAATATATTGATTAAAGAGTAAATGGGCGTATTTTTCCTTTTGTTATAATTTATTTTACTTTTCAAAGGTTCGGAACGATTCGAGAACATATATACATTGCAATGTGTATCTAAAATATGCATTTTGCATACAAATAATTGTATCATTTCTCCTTGTCGGAATACCTATAAGCTACAACCTTGAACGCCTCAAGTGCCGAGCATCTACCTCTCCCTATTATATGCGCAGGCTATATGGAGACTACTAAATTACGCACGAGAAACATTACGCTCTTTTACCACCTAATTAAGAAGGGAAATTCATATAATCTTTGATCTGGTAATCTTTCTTCTGTGCCGTTATGTAAGACAAATCGTTTCAAAAACTGCTTCATTAATGCTTGCGTTTGCAACTTTTGAGTACTTTTAAACTTATAAAACTTTCGTTTGTGGAAACATCACGTAAATTTATTACTGCAAAGCTTTTGCTCCGTAAGTACTTAGATTCATATTATTAGCACTGGTGAAAATCCGGGCTTACGTATCGAAAACTTTGCAGTAATAAATTTACGTGATGTTTCCACAAACAAAAGTATTGTACGTTTTATCGCCATGTAAACCTACAAAGAACTTACTTTTAAACTTGTAATGAATTTTGACATATTATACATTCAATATTCATGTAGTTATTTAAATTAGTGTATAGGTTCTACTGTATTGTAAAAGGTCGAGTGATTCAGTGGCTTATTCATAGCGATTTATCACTGAAAGTCGATTATTTAAATAAATGAACATGAATATGGCATATCTTGTATTTGTTTTGGTTTGTGGAAAACACCACGAATATTTATATTATAGAGTTTTTGGTCCGTGGCCTAAGTAAGCCTGTGCCCAGACCTTCATTACTTCTTATCGTCTTATAATAACAATATCCACAAACCTGAACAAACACTGTCATGATTATCGCCAGGCGTGCAAAAACACATAGACTTGCATGCAACATTTATATGCCACATTTTTATGTTTGTTCATGATATTTGTGAGGAACATGTTTATAAAAGGCAAACACAAAATCTCTTAACCACATGCGATTAGCGCAAACTCAGCTTCGCCAGATTTATTGCCGAAATATGGTGTAGTTTTCATATTTGTAAGTCTATGCGTTAATGTTATAGATCGCTGTTGCTAACAAGAATCCGTTCAGCTGGGACAACACAACGAGTAAAAGTTTAAGCTCGAGCGTTGTTGACATTAAGTTGCAATCAGATATGAACGTTTCTACCTCGAACGTTTCTGAGGATTTCTCTATCACCATACCACGAGACCCCACTCTGTTTCCAGAGCCAGACTCGTTTTTCTTGAAACCAAGTCACGAGAACACTACAGCAAAAACGAAAGAATATTTGAAGTACCATAGGTTCGAGCGGAAAAACGATTTTACTTCAATTAATTTTCAAATGCGACCTGATGAACCTGGAATACAGTTTCGTGTTTACCTGAAGAAAGAATCGAAACCAGATATCATGAAAAGAGATTTTGAATTGGAATATGAACTGCCTGACCTTAGCAGTTGCTTAGCCGGAAATGAAAGCGTGTTCAATTCGTCTGTTGATCAGTCCGAATCCGATGAGAATAAAACCATCTATGTTGATCTCAGAAACTGCACAAGAGATCCTTATACAGTCTTCGTATCAAATGTTGACATGAATGGTGCTGGAAGATACTGGTTTGGTAAGTATATCTGAGTGGACAGTAATTTCTTTAATAATTAGATTTTTCCGTGCAAATCCTATAAAAGCACCACAATGAGACGATTTCTGTCATTGGTTACTTTCACAGTAAAAATTTAATGTTTTCACCAGCATAGCTTTTGAATTGACTGTAGTTTTTCCTGCTGTCTTGCATGGATGGCTGCAGATATCCTGTATACTTACATACGTGCAGTCATATGAAATGAGCATTGTGCTACTGAAAAGTGTAGCAAAGTGCAGTAATAAAATAAAACAGATACTAATATTAATATATGTAGGCCAAAAGAAAAGTTTGGCTTGAATATTTTGAGATCATAGTTTGGTCAGAATCTATATTCACGCCAAAACTGCAATCTCGTTCCCAGGCTTCTTCGCTTATTGCTTGAATATTTTGACACCATAATATGAATCTAATATGAATCTACTTTGTAAAGTAAATGAACCACGAGATGCCTGAGGGGGAGGCTAATATGAGTCTTAGGCCGCGTTTACACTACGACGCTACGGAAAATTTACCGTAGCGTAGTGATTTGCATCCGCAGTGCCAAACGTAGTGGTCCGGCGCTACGGCAAACCACTCCGTTATAGTGTAAACACAATATAATTCCGTAGTTAGTACGCTACGACAAACCACTCCGTTATAGTGTAAACACAATGTAGTCTCAATACTAGAAACGTAGTAAATTTTTAACGGAGTGTTTAGCCATAGCGTCATAGTGTAAACGCGGCCTTAGTTGTATCCCCATCAATCCACAGCTTTCTTATTATTGGTATACTGCCTATACATTGGCACAGACCGTTCGAGGTTAATATAGCGATGGTCAATTATATTGTTACCTTTCTATGTCTTCTATGGGCCTTTTCATGTGAGCCTCGGTTCACCCGAGTGGGAAAAAGTATCCCCACTAATATCGCGCCTTGGTGCAGGGACGAAATTATGTAAACATATAGCGTCTTCGAAATATGTTTTGTTGGAATTCTGCAACTTGTATTACGAATTTAGTGTCTGTTTAGGTCTATCATTGTTTATTTTTAGTCTGTATTTTCCAACTATGCTGTTCAATGCTACATTATGGTCAAAATCGGCAAAAAAATCCATCCCATCCACCCCGGTCAGGTGGGATAAAGCCTTTATATGGAAACTGTTAGCCCACTTGACTGAAATCTCCCTTCCTAGCGGAAGGTGAGATCTCAACTAACCGGGCTGGCTCGTTTCTCATATGAACACAAATTGAGTTTTATATGCAGATCTGACGCATCCCGGTTGGCCGGGCTCATATGAACAGGTCCCATGCATGAATCAAAGGTAATGCATATACCTGATTTGTGCAACTCTAAAATTTTTGGTTGGATCATTGACTTTTTAATTTGAAGGGCAAAAGCAATAAAAATTAAGTAACCTCCATTTGGAAGAGACTTTTAATGAAGATCAAAACTTCAATACAGATTTTCTTATTGTTCGTGGTATAAAAGATATTATCCTATGATTATGCATTCTGCCATCTTTGATATGCATCTCCATCGTCGGATATGCAGGGTAGAAAATTGCAATTTTGTGGCTTGAGCAATTCTCGGGTCATTTTAATTCTAAATCTTAATTTTTGACTCCTGTCTATTTTAAATTAAGGTACAAGCTATATGTACAAGCTTTCTACTAATAATATTTGTTAGGTTTAAAATGACTACCCTGGTTGTGACGTCATTTAATCAGATCTAATTATAAAACAAGATGGCTGGTGGCAGAATGTTTTAGTTCCGACTATCTCAGCAATTAAGATAGTTTGGGAGAATTTGTAAATTATCTGAACATTGTTTCAGATTAGCCAAACATAATTTTTGTTGCCATTTTCTTTTCATAACAAGTTTGTTGGATAAACTCCATTAGTCAATCAATAGATTAATCAAGCTGTATCTTCAAAGTTAATCTGACATGCATTATAAACATTATAATTTAAGCTGTCCAGCACTTAGGACCATTAGACAACAACAAAGACGATGAAAATTTGGCTGAGACAGATTCTCGTCGACGACGTTCAGTTTCTTGTGAAGGCGAAGGAAGACGTGTTCGTCGTTCGTGTGTAATTATCCCTCCTGCCCCTCCGAAGCCAACTGATCCACCCAGCGTTGTTCATTTTCAAGTACCAGACACCCTTGGATTTGATGGAAAGTTCTTTTTCCCTAACCAAACCCCAAACTACAATTTATCAATGTTTGAATCAAGCTGTCTCTACTGGCATGAGGAAAACGAGACTTGGACAGGTGAAGGATGCAAGGTAAAGCTTCTGTGTTATTTCACAGATCACGTGTAAAATCGTGAACTTTCAATATTTAAGAATCATTTATCTTCTTGGGACATGTTCTAATAATTTGCATATCACGTTACAATATTGCTTCAACTCTAAGTAGCAAATTGTATAACGCTATGTTGTAATAGATAAGTGGTAATACGTGTAAGATAGCTCGTTTGCAACTTGTCGCAATTGATGTTCTCGCCAACACTGCATTTTCTGGATTTGTACAGAGGTTTGATTATAACTATTTGTCTCAATATAACCCTATAAAAATACCGCACTCGGAATGAACTAAAATGCGGGACGGTATACGTAGTAACCTAACCCAGGGCAATATTACATGTACATTAAATGCCTTGACAGACATTGTTTTTCCTCCAGCGATCGCGACAAGTTGCAAACGACCTGCCTTAATTAATTCTTCTTACATTTTGCTATTAATGTGCTATACAGATCAGTATAAGGAAGTAGAATGTTAATTATGTTTGGCCATGAATTTCAAATAAAATTGGAATATCTATACTTGGTATTCACTAGTATAAATCAATAATAACCTTTTGTTTATTTTTCCTTCTATGACAGGTGGTCTTGGGTACAAATCGAGAACAAATTTTGTGCAAATGTAATCATTTGACATCCTTTGGAAGCGAGCTTCTTGTTGCTCCGAATCCAATTGACTTCGATTCGGTTTTCAACAATTTTGGAAGTCTTGCTGAAAATGTAGCTGTACTGGCTTTGATTTCAACCATTCTTGGTGGGTACATTATTGGAGTTATTTGGGCTAGACGAGCTGATAAGAGAGACCTATTAATGGTAAGTGAATTTTATTCCTTGTCAATAAACAAAATATGAAAAAATTATACAGTCGGTTGCGGCTAAATATGATTACACCCACTCAACCAATCAGCGCTTAAAATTTTCATTCACTATATTCCACGACTATATCTGAAATTACATCGATTGCAGGTCTGCAGAACTATTAAGCACAGGCAAATTGAGGAGTAAAATCGTATTCACTTATATAGTTTATGCAACTTATCAGTACGGCTCTATATAGCTATACTCCTTATAGTATGCTGTATATATAAAGCATAGCTATATAGTAACTGGGTTAATATGTCGAAGTGACTTTATGTAAGTCCATGCAGCCAATCTCATCAAAGACAAAAATACATTTATTACAATTAATCTGTTATAATTTGTATCCCAACTAAATACTGCCATTGTTTTCACTCAAACTGCAAAGTCAAACTAGTTTCACCATGTTTAATTACAGTGACGTTTTTCCAGGCAATTCCTGTTTTCATTCTTTGTCGTCTTTTTTGTATTGGTGAATGAGTTTTCTTGTACCTCGATTTATTTAATTTTTCGTTCTGTAGCGAATCAGACATGGCTTTTACACTCATTTGCAACTGCCAGCTGCAGAGAACCAAACAAGAAAGGACCAACAATGAGTCCCTCAAATTAGATAGAAGGCCACATAGAGCTAGGCACCTCGTGGCCTTCTATCTCGAGAGTCTATACCCCCATACTAAAATCTCGGGACTCTATACCCCATACGGCACGCGCGTGATCATTCTCAATCCCTTACTTGAATTACTCATTAAATTTATAAAAATCTATCCTAGAAACTGTACTATAACAAGAGCTTCCATGTTAACTGGTAGATGCAATCCCACGCAGACCTTCGTCCCCTATATGCCGGGTTATGAGAAGTGTTTCTGGGATAAAATCATTCTCGATCCCAGGGCAGAAAAATAACGTTGTTTTCTGCACACAGATCATTCATATATTTTCATAATGACCGCCCCTCTTCCCGCGCCCTTGGCTCGTTAAAACGATTAAGCCAGTGAGCTCCATATATATCTGGAGCGTGAACTCGATTCCAAAAAGTGAAACCGAAGATGGCGGAAATTGAAGAGCTATTGGACGTCAACCCAGTCCTTTTCTATTGTTTTTGTCTACGTGGTCGGTCACGAAGCTGCCAGGAATGTGCTGAAATTTATTTATTAACTTTGCCGGCATAAAATTACAATAACAAAACAGAGTGGCCGGGACACCGCAACAGCATATTGCCAATTACTGCGGGCCCAATTAGATACAATCAAACAAACAACAGACATTCAACTGGACAGACTAACAAACCTACGAACAAACAATATTAGTTACTATAAGCAGCAGGATATCGGATATGTAAGACTTCGTACAGAGTTACATTTCAGGCATATAGTTTTAAATGTTCGAGGATTATCAGGATTATAATTAACTTCTAAGGATTTGTGATAGTATTCCAGTAAGGCTGATCTAAAGGAATTGAAGCAGTTCGTGTCATTTCGTATTTTGACTTCGCTTAAAGACTAATATTATGATTTTATGAACTGAAAAATTGATTATTGTAACGGTCCGTTAGAAAAAAAACCCTGTAATTAGCTGGAGAAAATGGTATAAAAATGGTATAAAAACTCTTTAGGTTGGGGTTAATGTAAAGTGTAGTGAAATGTATCTCATCGTAATATTAAATCCTATGAAAACTAAAGCCTCTGCGGAGGAGAGAGGGGTTAATCCTAAACGGCCATGGTCTTCAACATTACGACCTTCATAGATATTGGACGTTAATTCCGCCATCTTGGCTTCACTTTTCTCATGGGTCGAATGACTTAATTTCTTGTTCCAGATCTATTTTGAGCTCACTGGATCAAACTCACTTACATAAAACAAGAAGTCATACCGTATCTTTACTGTACACGTGTACATATTGATACACAATCACCGAACTTGTGGTTAATAAGTTCTCCTCCTTTGCACATTGTCAGGTTGGTCCAACTATCCTAACGAAACCAAAGGGATCTTATCATTACCTGATTACGACGTACACTGGTAGCAGACGCAATGCTGGGACTACGGCAAAAGTTGCCTTCAAAATGTCTGGAGATAAAGGCGAAACATGTCCTGTTCGACTCCGAGATCGTCACAGACCTTGCTTCGAACGCCAACAGGAAAACACGTTTGTTATTTCATATCCTCAGGGCATTGGTGATCTTAGTTACGTTCAAATATGGCATGATAATTCAGGTAATACTTCTCCATGGGATCTAAGTTACCAGCATTGATTCGCATAGGCAATAGGATAGTGCCCAGCCCGAAGGCGCACGTACAATCCTTAAGAGTTTTTTGTGTTGCGTAATACCAGCTTAAAACTAACGAGTGTACCATACCACATGGTTATTACTATAAACATTAAACCGTTTTAATATTTTACACGTTCGCAATCGGCAAACAAACGTAAAAAGTATGTTCAGTGCTTTATCTGATGCAAATATTATTGTATAACTAGAAATACATGCATGCAGCAATCCCTCGACTATATTTTCCAAACACTGAATTAACATAAACTGTTCAGAAATGGCCAACACTGAACGCAGGCTCGCGTTTAAATGTTGCCATGACAACACGATATTTTTCAATTTTTAAATATTTTTTTTATTTTTTGTACAAAACGGCAAAATAGTTGAAAGATTCGTAAAAGTTAAAGAACTATACAACAATGAATTTCCGAAATATACACTGTCGGTATGCTGTTTTGCATTTTGCGAGCGTTGATTTAATGTAAAATTTAACTTGAAATGCTTCGTAAAATGTTTTGATATGTTCATTCAACTAAACTACATTTGCCGATAAACTGTTTTTACTTTCTTAATAAATCATAATATATTAAGTTCAAATTGTTAGGTAATTTCAGTTCCGTATTCAAATATATTTACCCCCTTTACGTTTTAAGTTTTTTTTCTTTAATTAAATAGGGTAATTTAGGAAACTTACAGCTTCGTTGGAAAGGAAAACAGTTTATGTTTTACTATTACGCAAAAAGTTCAATAAAGCAACAGAATTCATAAACATTAATTATTCAAAGCAAACGTGCCCTATATTTCACGATTTTCCACAATAAATAAATTCTTCTCGTTTCTTCAAACAAAAATTGCTTTAAAGCTCTTGTATATGAAACAATTTTCCAAATATTTGTCTTTCAAAATTGAATTCTTGCTTATCCTACTCCTGGCAATCCGCCATATTTTTGAGATCAGTGAGGAGGTCCACCCATACACCATGACACCAATTTGGACTTCGCTAATGCTTTCGTTCCCCTGGGTGTAAATACCCGAGCGGAATTAGTACCCTCGCACGGCGCTTCGCGCCGTTGGCTCGGGGATAATGGTACAGATATATTATTGACCTCTCATAAGCGGACACCTACAGTCTCCGCTTACCGGAGGTTCGACTGTAGCATGGTTTCGAGTGCAATTTGAAAATTGCATGCACGAGTGATTTTTTTAAAATCGATGAAAGACTTATTATGCCGAACAATTTATACCTGCGCAGTTGGCAAGTTGCATAGACGTTTCTTCACCACCATTTCTAAGCTGTTTGAACAATAAACTAGAACAAATTATAGGCCCCCGTTGTTTTGGGATTACTCCCAGCTCTGGGTCCAGGGCATGTTCGGTACCTCCCTTCATTGCACCTGAATTTAACCTGCGTGGCAGACGGTCATTAATAGATAATTACTGAGGCCAACGGCATTATTCGATATATTGCAGCCAGCTGAGGCCGAAGGCCGAAGCTGGCTGCAATATATCGAATAATGCCGTTTGGCCGAAGTAATTATCTATTATAATTACTGACCCGAATCAAAAGTAATTATTTTCGGCTGGAAGACTACGTTGCTGCTTGATGGGACCGTATGACAATGAATCTATCCAACGTTACACTAGACATTTGTGAGGACATGCATGTAATGCATCGTGATAGAACAAGATTTCAGTTTAATTAATCGCCCTAAATTAAAATCTCCACAAGCGGAGGTCAATTATAGTGTTCTAGTTTACATATTATCATCAATGATAAGGTTAATTCAAAGAGCGTATTAAACTGGATAAACACGGGAATAGAACTTGTGGTGTGTTCTGCACATGCGTATATCTAGGATAAAATCCCACAAGCGCAAACGAAACTATTTCTCTATAAAGTTGAGCTGAAAGGACTCACAATGACTGTTTTGGCAGTGCTTCAGGCGCCCGATGATATTGTATGAGGGGCCTTTAGCACTGTCAACTTCTCATCTTGAGATGTTCACGTTATCGCGTGTACTTGTCAGGATGACGAAGGATTGTGAATAATGTCTGTGTGCACTGATACACACTGCATTATTTTTAATAATGCTGTGTGCACGCTGCATTATTTTTAATAATGCTGTGTGCACGCTGCATTATTTTTAATAATGCTGTGTGCACGCTGCATTATTTTTAATAATGCTGTGTGCTAGTTTAGCCCGTATAAACATTTACACCTGGGAATTTCCCTACAATCAAAAAAGACCGCTCCCGTTTTTCAGAAGAACGCTAAAACTTCTCGACATTCGCTGATATAATGCAGAGAGAAAACAATAGGTTATTATGACCGTCAGTAATTATATGGGAAATAGACCAGCGCAGGCTAAATAAATTACTCTCAATGCACGTCATCGTTGGTGCATTAATTGTTTCTAACCATAGCAAATGATGATGATACATTTAGGAATACATTCTTTTTAAATCAAGTTTTAAATCAGGTTGCCATGGCCAGCTTTGTCGCTAGGTCCGTGTATGGTACGTGTTTTGTTTATACTGATTTATTATTAACTTAGGATCTTCGCCATCTTGGTACCTCAGTCGAATCTTAGTGAAAGATCTACAAACTGAGCAAATGTGGTCGTTGTTTTGTGAAAACTGGCTAGCTGTGGAATCTGAAGATGGTAAAGTATGTCGAATCCTGCCTGTAGCAAACGACGAAGAGATGACGAACTTCAGTCATTTGTTCTCGGCTCGTGCAATTAAAGGCCTTGCAGATGGTCATATATGGTTTTCCATTGTCTCCAGACCTCCAACTAGTAACTTCACTCGAGTTCAGCGTCTCTCGTGCGCTCTTTGTCTGCTATGTTGTACGATGATCACAAGCGCAATGTTTTACAACATGGGAGGACAGGGTCCTAGTCCATTTGCAATCCACATTGGCTCTCTCGTGATCGATTTAAAACCTTTTGTTATTGGCCTGCAGAGCAGCGTTATTATTGTACCGGTGAATGTGCTAATCGTGCAAATTTTCCGTAATCTTCGACCCAAGAAGAAAAAGGATGATTCTGAGGAAGAGAGTAAAGTGCGAAATCCAAACGGGGTGAAGATTGAAGATCCAAATCAGGAACAGCCAAAAGGGAAATTGCCCTACTGTTGTATCTACTTTGCTTATGCCCTTTGTTACCTTTCATCTGCTGCCTCGATATTCTTCACTTTACTTTACAGGTTAGAGAAATAAATGTACTTCAATAATAGTTTGAGCAGTAGTTGCATACCAACGTTTCAATCTTGTTGGGAGAATTAGACAGGCTATCTCTTTTATGTGCATGTTCCCAGGACCGGTGTTCGAAAAATGGTTAGCTTATCCTAGGTTAAAGAAAAACACCAGCGGCTTGGCTTTTTAATGAACTTGAAAATATTCTCCTAAAATCTCTTCTCGATCATTTGAAGTTTTATTTTTCCAAAGTTTTGAAATAATGGACGTACAGAAATACCAAAACAACGGGATGTATTACTCCCAGCGATATCACTAACCGAGCTTTGAACCACCCGCTCCAGGTCTTTACTTTGTGCTTCGCGGACCGCGATAATCATGTTTTTGCATGCCACATGTCATTTTTGTCATTTAAAGAAATGCCCTCGTTTTTCATTGAAGCAAAATCGCTTCATGCCGCCATTTTACCTGTGAGTAGCCTATCACTTAGGTTTGAATTCGCGATCGGTCAGGCAAACTGGTCAAGGACACGAACTGCAAAGATACCGACGCCAAGTTGCACATCTGTATATTCCTAATCTTCGATTTAATTAAGCTATGGTTTAGCATACTTAATACAATAGATGGTTTGGAAACTCATTACCTATGTTGGTCAACGTTTATTTATAAATATGTTCCTTCACCGTCACGTGTGTATTGTATTTTTGCCAAATCCACCAATAGCAATTTCCAATTTACCCTATTGTTCGAGTCACGGATAGGTAAGTTCCTAAAACATTGCTATTGGTTAGCTGGGCAAAAATGCAATACACACGTGACGGCGAAGGACCAGATTTATGAATAAACGTTGACTAACATAGATAATGAGTTGTATTGTTATTCTAATGAGTTTCCAAACCATCTACAATATTCTATTAACTATGGTTTAAGTCAATTCGATGCATATTTGCGTTAGTATCATATGTCAGTACAAAAAGAAATGTTTATTCCACAATTATTCGTGACTGTACGATGAACCTGCGCGAAAAAAGCTAAACTAATTAAAGTCAGTGAGCCCTTCTTGTGGTGAGTGTTTATTGTGTAAAACTATATTTTGTAGCATTCAATGGGGAAAGGAAACATCAACAGAATGGGTTATTGCCATGGTAACATCATTCCTTCAATCAGCATTACTGCTACAACCAGTCAAAGTGGTTGTTCTTGCTGTTGTTTTCGCCATATTTATTCGCAAACCCGCTGATACGGAGGAGGAGTCCAATATCACGCTTGCAAAGGAACATCCCTTCGTAGACCAGCAAGAAAACAACCTCCTTGTCACTCAGCCTCCCCCGCCTCGTAAAGGAAAAAAAGTGAAAAAATATTTAAGGTAAGAATGTTGCTTTTTTGTTGTAAAAAGTTACATACTAGGTGTTATATGCGCTACAACTATAACATTGACATCCGTAAATTTTTACAATCGTAATACCCTCCAGTTCTTTTCTCAAATTATAGCGGATTGGTGTAAATTATATAATAATAGTATGGGCATGGATAGTAATGCAATTTTAATCGCCAAAGATCCGTTTGCGAATACCACCTTTTTCGATCAGTGGGAAACTCTCTATGTTTCCACCGGCCTCTCATGCGTCGCACTTTATCTATCGACAAAGACAAAGTGCAGCAGAAGCAGCTGTATACGACAAGTTTAGTTTATGAGGAGATTGGAATTATCTTCGACAGATTTTTGATAGTAACGCAATTGCGGCATTGCAAAACATTTTATATCAGTTTTGGCTATGTTGGTTCGATCAGAATAGAGCTTCACAAGTTAATAGATTTCAACAGATTCTGACACGAGTTGTTACGATACAACAACTGCCACATGAGAAGACCTGTGCCTGTGTTCTGAACGGACCTTAATAATGATATAATTTAATAATTCTAAACGCAGGATTAAATCATTTGGTTGTTCTTTGAACTGCATATGAATTATCTCACCAAAGAAACACGTAAACGAATAATGTGCTTACTATATAGACGATTCTTTGAAGTTGGACAATAAAAAGTTTCGCTTCATGTCACCTAATAATATGCCAATATTTAATTTTACATACTATTTCCTTTTTTCAGTCCTCCAGATCCTGCCAAGCTGAAGAAAGCAAGAGCAAAACGTCTGAAAGAGATAAAGATGAATGCAGCTTTAACTGAAATTTTTGCATTCTTTTTCTTTCTTGTTTGCTTGATGGATGTTGCGCAATACCACAGGGATCCGAATACTTACTTACTGAGCAAGACATTGTCTGAAACTTTTGTCAATGTTGATTCATTTGCCATTCCACTTGACTGGGTGAGTTAGCATCTGTGCACGTGAATGTTTGCCATATTTCACAGTTTAATGCAAGTACAGGTATATAAATTATTTCGAAGTATAAGATAAAGCATGTGTAGCTCAAACGTGTCTATAATCACAGCGAGCCCGACTCGTATCATTATTTGTTTATGAACATTCAAGAAAGTGATAAAAGGAATAGTGCTTTCCAAACAAGGTCAGAATCGTGTATATTTTCTTGAATTGAACAACAGCACGCCGGTTTTTTAACCCTTCCCTTTTTCCTCATTTTCTTCCGCGCGTGTTTTTTTCGCATTGCGTGTTTCCTTGCAACGCGTGTTTCTTGCCTTGTCTGCTTTGATATAAACGTATGGAGGATAATATTGATATAATAGGCCATAGTCGAGTTTCGTGTAGTATAGTGCCTCTATAAAATGAAACCATTTCTACACTAAACAGTCGTGTTTCAGTTTAAATTTTAAACGAAGCCATTACACCATTCATTGTTTGCTGCGCACAGTTGTGAAACCGTCACTTTTGAAGAAGCTTGTTTTAAGTTTTTATGCGCTACCCTCGTTATACATAAATGCGTATTATACATTATGCGTAAAACCGCTTGAATTGTGTTTTACTTATTGCGCAGATCGTCGATGCTGATTCATTATGGATGTGGTCTCGCGAGACACTTATTCCAGGATTGTACGCAGGGGAGTGGTACAACGGCAAGGAAATTGAAAAAGGTTATCTCGCAAACATGGAGGATTATCTTGTGGGTGTTCCGCGTGTGAGAATGGTTCGTGTTAAGAATGGTTAGTGTTAACAATGGTTAAAAAATAGGCATACCGACGTACAGTTGTACGCCAAAAAAGTATATCTCAGGAAACATACTGTAAGATAATGTACACTCAATACAGCTCCATTGTGTTTACCTGAAAAGCCTTCACTCCGATCCAAGTTATCGTCATCAACTCTCCATCTCGATAGCTACAGTACTTTCGCAAAAATGGTCCCAGAATTGAAATTTTCATGCTCAAATTTGTCTATACGGAACATTTCACGTTGTTTAGACCGCTAGCACGCGAGTTGACCTGGCTCATCTTTTCATGTTTTGAAAACTCGGTAAATGCATGCTCGTCATGATGGTGTATGGTCATTTTCTTGTAAAATATTAGAGCTAGACATTTTTCACTCCCCAATGACCACCCCTAAAAGCAACCATTCTGAACACCATAAGAACTTCAAGAAATGTGTAGTTTCCATGATTTAGTAGATAGGGCTATGTCGCAAGCGCCATTTCTGCCGGTGTGGTCTTTTTGGGACGTTTCGTCCTGGATTTGGGTTTTGGCAGATATATTGTCCGCGATGGTCAATATACCCTAAACAGTTGAGATTATCTGTCCTAAATAAAATGTTTTAAATCTCTCGTAACCCCTTTTTTATTCGGCTTTCATATTCCCGCTCTTTAAATTTTCAAGACTATGCATTCCAGCAACGCGCATGCATGTAAGTAACATTAAACCGCGATCCTGTCGAATCTCCATACATATTCCGCTCTTGTGAATGGGTAGGCAGCGATTGCTTTACAATTTTTCGTATCACACTTACGACTATTTTCCATTCATTAGGTACGTGTACAGTGTCCAGCTATTTTGAAGACACCATTGCTGACTGTAACGCGCAGTATTCCGTAGCAAATGGAGATGATGAAAACTATAACGTAGGCTGGGAGCCACTGGATACTACTTCCACCAGAAAACGCCGAGGAACTCGTATCCCAGAGAGCGAAGAAGCATGGTTGGAAAGTGTAACAGAAAAAGAACAAGTAGAAAATGATAGGCGTGCTCATCGTCGAAAAAGAGCTGTTGATCCTATTCAAAGTGGACGGAATCGCAGGAGAAAGAACCGACTGTTGTCTAGCGAGCGCCCGAAGACATACACCGTTCAAAGCAATGCTGTATCGACAGATGGACACGTCTTGTCGTGTTTGCAGAGATGGCGCCATCAGTCAATGTTAGAGCTACGAGGATACCCCTATTGGGGAACAATCGCTGTGTATGGTGGAAGTGGTTATGCAGCTAATCTTGGTTATGACCAACTGACTGCTTATACTGTTGTTGCTGACTTGCATTCAAATGGTTGGATCAGCAAGCAAACGCGTGCCGTTTTTGTGGAATTTACCGTCTACAACGCAAATACAAACTTGTTTGGTATAGTTTCAATTTTCATCGAATATCCGTCTTCTTCAGGTGTTGTTAACAAGGTTCAGTTACAGGCTGCGCGGTTTTATCTTCAGCTTAACGGAGGCCAAACACTGGCCCATGTCTTGGTCATATTCTTCATGCTGTATTTCCTTTATAGAGAAGGGAAACTTCTCCATAAACAACGCTGGACTTACTTCAAGGGTTTCTGGAATTGGGTTGAAACAATTCTTGTTATCTCTGAATTTTCTTTAATTATCCTATTTCTGGCACGTTTGTTCGAAGTTGATCGAAATCTACTTCAACTACGGGAAAATCCAAACGATTACGTTGCTTTCCAGTATGCTGGCCAGGCAGATGCTGCTATGACGGCCATCCTTGGTATACTAGTGTTTTTCTACATTCTTCGGTTTTTGCGACTTCTGAGATTCAATAAAAACTTCCTGATTATTGGTACAACGTTATCTCGCATCAGCGGGCCCATTTTCAGTTTCTTCATTCCTTTTCTATCTGGCTACTTGGCGTTTGGTTTGTTTGCATTTAGCGTGTTTGGTTCAGAACTTGAAGATTATAGTACATTTGTAAGAACAATGGTAACTCAGTTCAGTATGACTTTGGGTGATTTTGATTTTGAAGCACTGATGTCCGTCAGTGTAGTATTCGGTTCCTTATATTTCTTCGCTTTCATTGGACTCAATGTAATGGTGTTAATGAACATGTTCATCGCAATCATTAATGATTCGTATGCCGAAGTACAGGAGGAAACTGCCGAGATGGAAAATGAATTTGAGCTCGTTGATTATGTGGTTGGGAAAATCAGTGAGAAGTTTACAAGGTAATTTGTATTTTCTAATAAGTATCCATGATCCATAAATATTTCGGGTAAATCTGGCAGTCATGGATTCTTTTGTCTGAATAATAAATTTGGTGGGATTTAATGTTTTTGTTTAAAGGTTTGGATCACTCTCCTCCGCAGAGTCTGAATTATATAGGATTTGTAGGGATAATGTAGGGATAGTAGAGGACATTTAGTGGTGACGGGGGGGAGCCCATCATACCTAGCGCGTTTAACGAACAATTACGTAATTTGTTTCCCAAGTAATATTACGTAATTTTACTAAAAATTCGTAAGGCTCTGCGGAGGAGATGGGTTTGGATTATAGCTAGTGATACAATTGATCCAATGTGATCGCACGCGTACAGTACGCCTTTTGAAAAAACCTACGCTATATATTATATATTTCAATCAAAATTATGAAGCAAAAATGACTTTCTCAAAGTCCAACAAGTCCAACACAATAGTCTAACAGGAGAAAATATTTTATATTCGTGACACATTACCATGGAGCGTCCCATGGGACGTCCCTTCCATCATAGGTGGTGCGATTTTTGGAATTTCAAGGGTTATTCTCATACCGTGTTATGTTCTGGCGCAACAAATCCGGATTCGGAATTACAACAGCTTTCTTTGTGTTTGGCAAAACCGCAGCTTTGTTTAGTGAAATAATTTGCTCATCTGTACCCGGAACAAAACGAGAAGACATTTTGTTTTGGTCCGCGGGTTAATATTATATAGTGCAAGGATATCCGGAGCTGAGCACCAATCCAATTGTGCGTAAAGTACTGTCAGTCCACTCACCTCCCGAGTATATGCTAATGGTAATTATTCCGTCCAACCAAACAATCTGATTGACAATGAACATTTCAGTTTAATTTCAACATCACTTTATTTTTCCCATAATACGTGCAAGCTAACTATTTTCAATTCATTTCAAATCGGTCCCACAGAAAGCCCGTCGTGACAAAATTGGATAACGTATACATAAACTACCGAGCACATTGTAACGGATTATCCTTGTGTTATATGTAGGAGTAAACCAAGTCAACGCCGAAGGAAGCGTAAAAAGAAAAGACGTGTCAAAAACAACGATGACGCAAAGTTGATTGCCACCAATAACTGCTCTACCGAAGTAGATTTGATGTGCGATAAACTTGACAAATTATTGGAGGCTATTGAAAATGGTGCGGAAGAAGACAACAAAATTGAGACGCAGATTTGTTCGGTTCCCGAAGAGAAAAAAGACTCGTATTACCAACTCTTGTGTCTGATTGAAAGTGATTTAGTTGAAGAGGGCAAAAGTCCTTTCAGTCCTGCTGACATGTACGCTAAATATGTTGAGATTATGTACCTGCATTAACTGGAATGAGGGAAGACCATGTGGAAACGCTGTAGCCAGGTTGTTTGGTTCATTTCCTATTAAATAGCAAACCAGTTAATTAATTATCTATAAAAACATTTCGGCAGAAATTTTCCAAAATCCTTGTGTTCTTCAAGCGCTCTGTATTTATGCTTGCATTTAGGGTACTGCATGGCATATTAATCTAACAAAATAGAACATCAATTTATTTGTTTTGTGAAAAACAGCACGTTTATTTTGCAAAATTTTCGATACATAAAAACGAAACTCAATCTTCATCAGTGCAAATGTTAGACTCATATTATCCAATGTAATTACGTATTTAACAATTGATGTTGAGCGTGATATAAGCTAAGGGGGTTAACACAAACCGAAAATGTAAAACAGGATGGGCGTGGTGTTTTTCACGATCAGACGCATTCGATTGAACTTATCTTTATAATAAATAGTGTATGTGGTAAAATAGATTGTTTTGTAATAACAGTATATTCCAAGTTGCACAACCTTACCATATGATTATCAAAACACAGCACATTCCAGTTTATTTACGACACGCAAAAATGAGCCCGTGGATTAATTTACTATCACTAACATGCACAATTTATTAATTACAATCATGCAAGTACATATAAGTGAAACTTTAAATATTTATACGCACATCACTAATGTGAAAAAATTATTCAGTAAAATTTAATATCATATGCGAACTTCAATCACCCGAACTTCCTTTGACTACAGTAATTACTATAATTCGTTTTTTTTAATGCAGATTTTTCAGTTAAAATTCCAGGAATACACAAATATATAAATTTATTTACTGTATATTTGCAGCAACAGTTATACCTCTGTATAATACCCTGCTCGCTAGAAACCAATGCTAGCATGCAGGATAACTTTTATATTATCCTAGAATTTAAAGTGCATATATGGAACGAAAATTTTTATTGTCTTTAAAAGAACTATAAAAGCTACTTAGTAACTTCTTTTGCAGCTTTTTTGTTCGGCGTTGCTTCGTTTCCAAGATATTTCAGTTATTTGATATACGTGTCAAGCAGTCAAGGTTTGTACGTCACAAATATGCATAATGATAATGAGTTATCAGTTTAAGTTGTAGCTGTGTTCTTGTATTATCAAACAAAATTGCTTTTTGAAGTATAGTGTGCATTTATGTTGTTCTACAGCATCAGATATCTGTATTTTCTAGTAATTTCATTTCATAATAATACGAATATAACATTTTCAGGAAACTCATTGTGCATATTTGTGACGTAGAACCTTGACACGTTACGATACGATACGCTTTAAGCCAGTTTTCCACTTCGATCGTATCGTAACGTATCGTAGCATTTTCTTTTGTGTCAATCAAAGTCATTAGTTCCACACTACCGCTCAGGAAACAAAGAAATACGCTACGTTTCGGTACGATACGATTGAAGTGGAAAATTGCCTTTACTGACATATCTCGTAAACGAAGCAACGGAACGAACGAAAAACTGCAATGCACAATGCAAAATCTTTTTTATGGTGCGTTATTTAAATGAAGTTGTTTTGATATACTCCCAGACCTGGGTAGAGTGGACTAGGATTTAGTTTTTCTGAACTTTTCCACATTTTGCTGCACAGCACCTTTTGATACATCTATCTTTGCAGCAATTTGTCCTGTGAGAAACCTTGATTACTCAGGGCGAATATTTTTCTTCTTACTGCTGCACTGACGTCTTTAACCATTTTTGGTGTTCATGCGTGTAGAGGATAAGATTAACTATTGGACTAATCCCCAATTAACCAAAATTTTGATCTCAACAAGTCTATCACAGCATGAAAGAGCATCACAAAATTAGTAATATTCCAAAGTTTCGTTGCGAAATGTTGTAAAATGCGGATAATATAGCCTTGCGAAATTTGCAATTTTCAGTCATTTTGTATTACGAGCTGGAAACGGTTACCATTTTTGCAAAATTTTGATCTCAACTAGCCTAAACAAAAATATCATCACAGCTTGAGAAAGAGCATCACAAAATTCAGTACTAATATTCCAAAGTTTCGTTGCGAAATGTTGTAAAATGCGGATAATATAGCCTTGCGAACCATTTCCCGTTTGTAATCTAAAATGACTGAAAATTGCAAACTTCGCAAGGCTATATTATCCGCATGTTACAACATTTTTCAATGAAACTTTGGAATATTACTAATTTTGTGATGCTCTTTCAAGCTGTGATGAAATTTTTGTCTAGAGTTGTTGAGTTCAAAATGTTGCTTAATTGGGAATTGGTCCTTTACAGAGCACAATGCGTGTGTTCAAGTACCAAATGTTACTCTAATTCCAGGAGACAAAATTTTCTCGAATTATTGGCAAAAATGGAACTGGGCCCGTACTCTTCCCACTTTATATATTTTGATATTCCCGTAATCACTCTATTAATCTCTCTTTAATTAAATAAGCCCCCCTCCTCCCCCTTTTTTAGACGAAGAAATTTATTATATTAATTCCCTTCACAAATATTACAAAAACACACGTCTTGTGATTAGATTTATTATTTTCTTTACACGAATTTTATTTATAAACAAAATTATTATATCATTTACAGATAAATAAGCCCCCTCTATCTTTTAAGCCCGCTAATTCTCGTCCCCAATATAGATGCTGAGTCTTCCCAGTGGCGCAAGCAAGGGAGAGGGGGGGGGGGAGGGCTAAATGTTTTTTATGTTTTTACTACAACGATGTTTCGATTCTTCTGGCATCATTTTCAAGTTAAAGATAAGAATTATTCGTATTTAGCTTTAATTATAACGGTCCGCGTGTTCGTATCACGTAAACAAATAATTGCGCAAGACAGTACAGTACACAAAATTTTACTAAATGGGCAAGACAAAAAATACTAAAATATTAAAAACATTTATAGATGATAGATAGATAGACAAACACAACAAACACAACAAACAAGATTAAAAATAATTATTTTTTTCTTTGTGCATGCCTAGTGATAGTTTGAGAGAATCTAACAGTCGAGGGTCGAGAGTATAGGTCGAGAGTCTCAGTCGAGAATAAAGGCGACCAAGTATTGAACTTTCCTACACTACCTGGTGTTTAATATAAATGATCAATACTTTTAATTAAATATAAAATCAATAGTACATAAAAAGTCTATAAAGTTTATTAATTTTAGAATGGACATTCAACGTCTATTTGGCTAGTGTCCAAATGTGTAACGATTGCCGCCCAAACGTCCTAAACATGCAGTCGCTCTTGAGACTTGAATTGAAATTAACAAGTAAATCTATGCAAAGTTTATACCTTGTCCAAATAACAACAATTTAGTGACACAAAATTTTAAAATAGGTAAACCAGATGCAGAGCAGAAACGTGTGAACAGAAAGTGCGCCCAAAGCCCGATAGAGCATGAGAACAATTTCAAAGCATACGATCATACGTTTCTATTGCTTGATTTCCTGACTTGTCTGTTGCTATAAAAATCTGTTGAGCATATTGTTATAATTTAAAAGCAAACACAAATCAAATTTGGCTTCAATAGAGGGAATGGACAAAGCAAACGAACTTTTCACCACAGCTCGGGGAGTCGTAATGACGCCTCAGAGGTTTCGGTTATGACGGCGGACGGTAAAAATAACGGTGTCGTCGGTCCGCCTACCCAACGGTTACGAGACAAAGGCGTACAGATAAGTGGTGTTGGCAAAGGCGTACGCAAAATGGCATTGGCAAAAGCCCCTCGATCGAGATCAGCACAAAGTGCTGGAGTGAAAAAAAACGTATTCCTTGACGCGACATTTAAAGGACTTGAGCCCGTCATTTCCAAACTTATTCTTGCGTCGCGGTCGTGTCCAAGACATAGATATCTTATATAAGATATATATGGTCCAAAACCAAGCAAAGAGGCAAGCTTCCAACTTTATACCATTTATAATCCATGACAAATGTAACCAATTATAGTGTCTCATTTTGCTCTCATGACTCTACTTGAGAATAATAAAATCGTGCGAGTAAAATAACATTATTGTTATTACTTCAGTATTGTTATAATTCTACATTTTTATTTGATTGTCTATGGTGGAGGGTATACGAAGAAGGTATACGAAGAAAACTCATCGTTGTCCACGGAATGACATTTAGGCATGCGTAACGAAAGAATTATTTCAGTACGATCGAATATCATCTCTACCCTGGTTGTTGCACACTCTATCAACTGCGTCAACTGCACGCCTAAAATCTCACATTTGTAAAAAAAAGTTGTGTTCGCAACAGACTTGTAGCAAGATTGTCAACAATTAAGATGTGTCCGCAACACACATGTCGCAACTTGTCAACAAGATACATTCGCAATAGACTTGAATCAAGCTTATTGACAAAATGCGTTTGCAACAGACTTACAGCAAGCTTTTCATGTCAACAAGATGTTCGCAACAGACTTGTAGCGAACATCTTGTTGACATGAAAAGCTTGTTGTAAGTCTGTTGCAGACACATCTTCTTTACAAGCTTGCTACATTTCTGTTGCGAACACATCTTGTTGACAAGCTTGCTACACAGAGGCGCCGGAATATCGATAATAGCGGGGGCAGATATTCATATATTCGTGTTCACAGACTGTAAAATCAATCGATTTCAAAAGAAACTAATAGGGCGGAACACGAATATATGAATATCTGCCCCCCTCAATTATCGATATTCCGGCGCCTCTGTTGCTACAATTCTGTTGCGAACACAATCTTTTTTACAAATGTGAGATTTTAGGCGTGTAGTTGACGCCGTTGATGGGTAAGTACAAACTTGTGTAACAACCCGGGTAAAGATGCTATTCGATCGTATTCAAATAATTCTTTCTTGACGGATGCCGAAATATCGTTCCGTTGAAAACGATGAGTTTTCGTCTCATATCTCTGGTTCCATGCACCATAGACTATCAATTCAAATAGAAGGTCTTTCCCTCCCACGTTACCCATAGAACGAAAGCCCAGGATTGCGATTTTTCTTAACTTAGGTGGAGCCATGTTTACAGATTAAAGCACAACAAAAACAACAAAAATAAATCATTGGAAAACAATTTTTGTGGAAAAATATATCACTTTTCATTTAATATTAGGAATTGTTTATATAATACAACTTCTAGAAGCGCCAGTAATTCCCAACCTCCACAAATAGCTACTGAACCTTGACCCCGAAATAATCGAATTACACTTCTGCTTCAACCATTTTTTTATTTTTCTTTAACTTTTAGAATCATTCAAAACATGAATAAGATAGAATATTTGCTTTCAAAGTGTACAAAATAAACAATTTGATGTAAATTAATAATAATTGAACCCAATGAACCATGCATTCATCGTGTTCGACTTTTGAAAGATGGGATTTGATGGACACGTATAAATAATAAGTTAAATATTAATTTTAAATAAGTAATCCAACCTTGCATATTCGTTTATTTCTTATTCAAAAGGTTCAGCGAATTGGCTAAAATTAAATTAAATTGTTCCTCGTCATTCTTAGTAGATCTACTTATAACCAACTATTGTTCGAGTAAAGGAACCATTGAGAATTATTTGCTGTATAAAGAGTCTAGCAATTGATACTGAATGATTCAATTGATCGTGTAAAAGATAAAATGAAGTGCATTTCGAAGACAAAAATAGAAAAGAACTATCTCAATGGGAACCCACCGCAATCCTAAGAATGAACGCAAAATCTTACGCAGGTGGTCACATTCAGTTAACACCAGGGTAGCAGTTAGCAAGAGAAAAGTCGATAGAAATACATCCACAGCGACGCGCATACAAAGAGAAAAAATTGTCTATTTAAGGAGGCTCCCTACACTTGCGGCTATATACTGAACATCTCCAAAATAAGAGACTTTTCATGCAGATCGTGCGTTTTTTTTACTTCGGAGCAATATTCGACATCAATGGAATATTTAGAGCTCGATTTTAACAATATCAGCGTTGCAATGGGAACATGGCGAAATCATAAAACCTACCAATTTTACCCTAAAATTGCCTGTATCTCAAAAACGATGTCGGTGACCCCTATTTTTTATTTCATATATTAATAGGGGGTGATATTCTACAACTCTAATGAAAGTTTAACAAAATTCTTTACAGTGCGATTTTTTTAATTACTGTGGATGCAACAGAAGTGTTCATAAAATATTGCATCAATTTATTTCCTCAAGTTGATCAATTGATACGAATTCAATTTTCTTTTTACTTCCTGTGCGTTTCCTATTGGTCAATCGGTTCTGAAACGAAATCTAATTGGCTCATCTAGAAGTAACAGGAAGTTGATCAATTTTGTATCAAATGAATTGATCAACTTGAGGAAAGGAATTGGTGCAATATTTTATCAACGCCCCTATATTGCATCGACAGTAAAAGCGAAAATTTTATTGCGAGATTACCACTGTAAGGAATTTTTTAAAAATTGAACTATGTAAAATTTACCAAAATTAAAACTTGTGATCAAAATTTGAAGATATGTGGCCGATGAAAGTATCGAGGAAAAAGTTGTTAAATTGCCCTCGTAATACCAAATAGGCAAGTGTCATCGCTAAAATTTTCAAGTAAGCGCCGTTCGAAAGGTGAAAATCGCTTTTTTAAAGTAAATGAGATATCGATGTCAATTTTTCGAACAGAATCTTTTAGAATAACGGTAAACGATCACTTATATTGATATACTTTCATTACAAATCTTAAAATGTCGATTTATATTTATCAAAAGTCTGATTTTTTCCTATCGAATTCCTTATTAAAAACGTGCATTACGCTTGCGAGAGATTTCGTATACGCCATAAATTAGCAAATAATCATGTGACACGTTTCGGCCTAAGTTTCATTTCTGGGTTATTTACCCTGTGGCAATGTTGTTTTTGACTCATGATTTGGACGTTTATTCAAACTTTTAAGCGCCATGCATGATCAGGCAAGGAATATTGTGAAGGGATTAGATAAACTACCAAGAATAAAGCTAAATTGATCGAGTAGTTCACACGAACTGGTATACAACCTATAATTAAAACAAGTATCGTATTTTTTTTTTGGTTTTTCAGTTTTGCTAAAGATAGACAAGTCGGTATTTCTTTGTAAAACTGCATGTCTTTGTTTTCTCTTGTGGAAAACATGCGAGTATCTCTAAATCACTTTTCTAACGAATAACAGTTTTTATGTTTAACGAATATTTTAAATCGTAGATGAAAATTCAAATTGCTACAGTCAATATAGTTTTTATCGATATAGTTGTTGTTTGTTGATGTTTATATCATCGTTAAAACTACTTCTCGATGTTATTTCTGCTTGAATTGATTTGTCACAAAACCTGCTAAATATTTTTATTATGTTTTGATCTTGAAAAATGCGTGGGATAATTTACGAAATCTCTACGCGTTTGTGACTTTTGTCCTGCGATTTACCGCGTGCTACTGTAGGGAGCCTCCTTAATTCAGAGTTTAACGACGTACTTTTTGTTGATCTTACATGAAAAAATAATCCACAATTTAATAAATTGCAAATGAAAAATAAAAAAAATATTACCATACATGTTTTAATAATATGACCATATTAATTAATAATATTATTAATATGGTAATATTAATATTACCATAATATAATATTAATATTATTATTAATATTACCATATTTTCAGAATTTTTTTAATCATATTTTCATTGCTCACTCGTTTGCAAACGAAACAAGGCACAAATCTCTCAAAACTCTTCAAAACTGTTTGTTATTTACCTGCCAGTCATTTTTTTACGCACAGCACGAAAACCATGTGGCAACATTTATGTCACATTATGAGTTCAAATGCATGGATTTTGTTCAGTTTATCCAAATCAACAGTTATTTGCCGTTGAAAACTGTTGTTTACTAACATTTAGTTCTTAATTTAAATATGCATCAGATTTTAATGTAAAAGATAAAATGTGTGTATTTTGCGGATAAAAATAGACAGGAATGATCTGAATTGGTACATGCCACAATCGTAAGATTGAACACAAAATCGAACGCCGGTGGTGACATTCATCTAACACCAGGGAACCAGGTGTAAATATATCAATCATCCTTGGTATCAGTTATTAGCTCAAGACATTGCAGTGGTCAACATCATTTTCAAAAGTTTATTTACTCACCCATATTATCTGCTTTGGTTGTAAGTAGATGTATATACAGCGAACAACGAGGGCCGAAATCAAGTAAGTTTAATAAAATATTTGAAACGTTATTCTTAAGAAATAAACCGAATAGGTTGGTTTGGATAATTTCTAATCGATTAAAATGTATGCCATAATACTATCTTGTCAAAAGTATAAAAATGAATATACTTACAAAAATATGGTATTGCACAAGTTATGAGGGACAAATTTTCAAAAGCAATCGCAGCTGTCGTAAGGAAAATCAATCTGGATTACAAATATCAATGTTTAGAGTGTAAAAATTAAAACAAAAGTATTTTAACTGGAGCGAGCTTCTATAGCAATTGCGACGTTGTATACATGATATTTCGACTTTAAATTGGTTTTATACTCGCTAACAAATAGCTAGCTACATACTGAAGTTTTTATTTGAAGTTTTTATCTGATAAAAATCTGGCATTTTTATTGCCAAAACAAAGAACTTGATAAATAAAAACAAATCTCTAATTGGAAAAAGATAGATGCAATAAATCACGTTTCATTCATTTCGAACAATACCTGCATTAATGACATTAAAGAATTTGTCAAGTTATTTACGTTCTGCTTATCCATGA